TCCTATGACTGCTTCTCTGACTGTCAATACCTGCTCTGTTCTGCAGAGGAGAGCCACTTGTGAACTCCTTAGTGATTCTGGTGCCCCTGTACCTAGGGCATTCGTGATGACCTAGGTGAGTGGTATTGTCTTCTGGGTCATCCCATGAATACATCCTCTGCTGAGTCTTCTGGCTTCATATGATATATCTATTCCAGCATGCCCATTTTCCTTAACCTTTTAGTCCATTCCTCCATGATCTGCCAGGGCAATTCAGGTATTTCAACCTTGTTCTTTGTGGACCATCATTTTTCTCCAGTCTCTTAGGACGTTTTCTTGCCACGAGTTTGCACAATCCCTGTGAATCTTTGCCAGGGAGTTCAATTTTGTATCTCAGGAGCATGCTCCCAAATGAATAAACTCCCCTCATCCGATAATATGCCCCATCTCCTTTAAGTCAGTGCACTCAAAATCCATTCTGTGAGTACCTCCCCATATTCCTGTTTGTACATAGCAGCTGATTCTTGCTACTCTTTGGGCATAGTCCCTTTTCTTCCTTGTTATGCTCAGCATATTGGTAGCTAAATTATTCTACCATTTAACCTTAGTTATTGGCCTGGCAACCAGGAGATGAGGTAGGGATATTAATAAAGGTATCCCTGTTGCCCTGTGAGGGAGTGACCTCAGCTTTTCACAACTGTGGGAATGCTGGCTTTTAATAGGGAGAAAGGGCCGGGCACGGTGGCTCATGCCTGTAATCCCAGCACTTTGGGAGACCGAGGCAGGCGGATCATGAGGTCAGGAGATCAAGACCATCCTGGCTAACACGGTGAAACCCTGTCTCTACTAAAAATACATAAAAAGTAGCCAGGCATGGTGGCGGGCGCCTGTAGTCCCAGCTACTCTGGGGACTGAGGCAGGAGAATGGCATGAACCCGGGAGGTGGAGCTTGCAGTGAGCTGAGATTGGGCCACTGCACTCCAGCCTGGGCAACAGAGCAAGAATCTGTCTCAAAACAACAACAACAACAAAAAAAAAACAAAAGTAATGTTTAAATTTCCAAGTATTTAAGTATTTTTCCATTTATTTTCCTATTACTGATTTATAACTTAATTCCATGTAATCAAGGACCATATATTGTATGATTCCAATTCTTTAAAATTTATCTAGGTTTTTTTCTGACCCAGGACCGGCTATTTTGGTGACTAATCCATACGTACTTAAGAGAATGTGTATTTTACTATTTTGAGGTGAAGTGCTATGTGACTATCAATCTAATCTAGTTTGTTAATATGTTATACAGTTCTCTTACATCCTTACTAATTTTGTGTTCTTGTCCTATATTATTGAGAGAGAAGTGTTAAGCTCTCCAACTATAATGGAGACCCCAACTACAATTGTGGGTTTGTGGGTTTCTCTTTTCAGTTCTAACCATTTTTATTTCTTATATGTTAAATTTCAGATGTTAGGTATGTACCCACTTAGAATTCTTATGTCTTCTTTTTTAAAAACTTTTTAAATTATACTTTAAGTTCTGGGATACATGTGCAGAACGTGCAGGTTTGTTACATAGGTATACATGTGCCATGGTGGTTTGCTGCACCCATCAACCCGCCATCTACATTAGATATTTCTACTAATCCTATCCCTCCTCTAGCCCCCCACCCTGCCGACAAGCCCCAGTGTGTGATGTTCGCCTCCCTGTGTCCATATGTTCTCATTATTCAACTCCCATTTATGAGTGAGAACATGCGCTGTTTGGTTTTCTGTTCTTATGTTAGTTTGCTAAGAATGATGGTTTCCAGCTTTATTCATGTCCCTGCAAAGGATAGGAACTCATCCTTTTATGGCTGCATAGTATTTCATGGTGTATATGTGCCACATTTTCTTTATCCAGTCTATCATTGATGAATATTTGGGTTGGTTCCAAGTCTTTGCTATTGTGAATAGTGCCACAATAAGCATACATGTGCATGTGTCTTTGTAGTAGAATGATTTGTAATCCTTTGGGTATATACCTGGTAATGGGATTGCTGGGTCAAATGGTATTTCTAGTTCTAGATCTTTGAGGAATAGCCACACTGTCTTCCACAATGGTTGAACTAATTGACACTCCTACCAACAGTATAAAAGCATTCCTATTTCTCCACATCTTCTCCAGCATCTGTTGTTTCCTGACTTTTTAATGATCACCATTCTAATTTTTTTGCATTTCTCTAATGACCAGTGATGATGAGCTTTTTTTTCATATGTTTGTTAACTGCATAAATGTCTTCTTTTGAGACGTGTCTGTTCATATCCTTTGCCCACTTTTCGATGTGGTTTTTTCTTGTAAATTTAAGTTTTTTATTTTTATTTTTGTGAGACAGAGTCTCACTCTGTCATCCACGCTGGAGTGCAGTGATACAATCTTGGCTCACTGCAAGCTCCGCCTCTCAGGGTCACACCATTCTTCTGCCTCAGCTGGGACTACAGGCGCCCACGACTGCACCCAGCTAATTTTTTGTATTTTTATACAAACAGGGTTTCACTGTGTTAGCCAGGATGGTCTGGATCTCCTGACCTCATGATCTGCCCGCCTCAGCCTCCCAAAGTGCTGGAATTACAGGCTTGAGCCACCGTGCCTGGCCTAAATTTTTAGATTAGCCCTTTGTCAGATGGATAGATTGTAAAAATTTTCTCCCATTCTGTAGGTTGCCTGTTCACTTTGGTGATAGTTGCTTTGCTGCAGAGAAGCTCTTTAGTTTAATTAGGTCCCATTTGTCAATTTTGGCTTCTGCTACCATTGCTTTTGGTGTTTTAGACATAAAGTCTTTGCCCATGCCTATGTCCTGAATGGTGTTGTCTAGGTTTTCTTCTAGGATTTTTATGGTTTTAGGTCTTACGTTTAAGTCTTTAATCCATCTTGAGTTAATTTTTGTATAATGTGTAAGGAAGTGATTCAGTTTCATTTTTCTGCATATGGCTAGCCAGTTTTCTGAACACCATTTATTAAATAGGGAATCTTGTTTGTGTCAGGTTTGTCAAAGATCAGATGATTGTAGATGTGTGGTGTTACTTCTGAGGCCTCTGTTCTGTTCCATTGGTCTATATATCTGTTTCGGTACCAGTACCATGCTGTTTTGGTTACTGTAACCTTGTAGTAAAGTTTGAAGTCAGTTAGTGTGATGTCTTCAGCTTTGTTCTTTTAACATTTGTGCTTAATTTACATTTTATGAAATTATTGACATGGTTGCAATTATTCACATGGCATGAAGTCAGGCAGTCGGAGGGTCAGTGGCTCCACCCCAGAGAACCACCCTCAGCCCCATGCATGTGACTGCAGTGTGCCCAGTGCCACGGTCCATGCTCCAGGCAACGGTTGATTAGGAGTGGACTCTTAAACCAGGTTGGCAGTTCACTCAGCGACCCGGAGGCCATCCCAGGGGAGTCCTGCTAGCCTGCTCTTGTGCCTGTAGTGCAGCTGCCACCTGCATGTCTCCCTTGGGCTTCAGTGGCTAGGCAACCCCCATCTGCCCAGCCTTCCCCAGCCAGGACCCTAACCGCAGACTCTGGCACCAGACACTGCCACCACTGTCAACCAGGCCCTGCAGAGGCAGGCAAGCTGAACTGGCTGCTGAGCCCCTTCTGGTTGGCCACTCAGTACCCGTTTCTGTGGCCCCTGGACTCCTCGTGTGGGCTAAGGTGGAGTGGACCCTCCGGTTTTGCCATGGTGCAATGGTCCACCTGGAGACCATCCAAAAGAGAAGACCTACCAGCCCCTGCCAGAGCCCTAGGTGCAGCTGCCACCTGCACGTCAGGCACCGGCAGCAATGATCAGACTATCTCTGATTCTCCATGCCCTCCCCACCCCCGCCTCAGCAGCAACCACTTCCTGACAGGACGCTGAGGTAGTGGCTGTCGGGAAGTCGACTGGGCAGGTGCATACGGATGGATAGACTCTCAGCCTCATCCCGACGGCCACGACTTGCTCATCCACTGGCGGCTCCTCAGCCCTATTCTAGTGGCCACGGAGTGGCATGCAGGCAGCAGTCATGGGAACCCCGATTGCCTCTCCTCACACGTGCCCATCACACGACTTGGGCGACTGGATGATCAAGTCAGGTTATGGCCCCAGCGGCGCCAAGAGGCCAAGAACCGGCGCTCAGCCTCATCCCCATGGCTACAGAGTGCCAAGCGCCAGGTCCTGCGCTCTGGGCTCGGGTCAGGAGCAGTTGGCAAGGGCGGCGCAGCCTGTGGGGCCTTTGGGCGCGGCCGGCAGCAGCTCCGGTAAGCCACGTCAGCCCACGGGCGCTGCAGTGCAGCGGCTACCAGCACCTGGAGCAGGGGTCGCCGAGGATTGGGAGTCCCCAACCAGGACTGCGCCTCCAGCCGCTTGGACCCCGGCCCTGGCAGGGCAGCGGCAAGTCAGGCAGTAGGCGGCAGGAGCGCAAGGCATGGGCTTCAGCCTAGGGTGCAGGAGGCGCGCACCCTCCGGCCGGATGGGCGGCGCAGTCAGGGACCAGGAGGCCATCCCAGGGGAGCCTCGCCAGCCCCCGCTGGAGCCCGAGCTGCAGCTGCCACCTGCAAGTGGTGCGCTGGCTGCAGCGGTGGCAACCCCGGATCCCGTCCTCCCGCCTCATGCCCATCAGCGCGGACCCGGGGGCGACGCAGTGGCGAAGTCAGGCTGTGGGCCCGACGGCGGCACCAGGCGGAGAGGGGCCACTCGACCGTATCCCTGGTCTTCAGAGGGCCCAGCGCGGGGGTCCCCGCGCGTCGGGAGCATGTGGAAGAGGAGAAGAGGGCGCGGGCGACAGTCAGGCCCTGGGGCAGGGCGCGCCTCGAGCTCCACGGAGCCCCGCCAGCCCGCGGCGCCTCCGCAGCAACAGCCGCCTGCACGTGGCTCCGCGAGAGCTGCTAGGGCGGTTACTCTGCCTCGGGCCTGTAGGGCGGGGCCGGCGAAGGTGCGCGTGCTCGCTGGTCCTAACAGTTCTGTTGGGCGTTTCTGCTGAGAGGCGGGAGGCGCTGAGAGTGTGCTGAGGTCCGTGGACTGACTGCATTGCTTGTTGTTGCGCTTCGGAGGCGGCGATCCCCGAAGGCGAGATGAAATATGACTGAAGCCGGTGACCTTAACCGAAAGTCGTTCCCAGGCTACTAGTTGCCGCCAAGGAGTGGCCTAGAGATGTTTGACGGCTACAAGCCGGAGAGGTGGCCCATCCTCAGGGAGCGCTTGTGCTCAGATGGCTTCTCATTTCCCGAATACTGCATCAAATTGTCTCATCTGAGAAGGATCCACAGAGCTGTCTTCCATGGTAGGCTGGAGAAACTGAAGTACCTTCTGCTCACGAGAAGTGACCCCAATAAGAGAGACAAGAAGGAAAGGTAATGGGGGCTGGGAGCCGGGGCTGCGGGAGGAGGCCTGCGGACGTGGGAGAAGTACCCGCTTCCAGGCTGAGGGCTGCGGGACGGATGGGCCGGGGCTCGGAGTATGGACGGGGGGCTAGGGGGTGCCTGGCTGGGGTGGGAGTGAGTGGAGCGGGGCCTGGGGAGTGGGGGTATATGAGGTGGCGGGATGTGGAGTGAGTTGGGGGATGGGAGTGGGGAGTAGGGGGTGCTTGGGGTGGGGATGTGAATGGGCTTAGATGGATGGAATGAAGGCTTGGGGGTCAGGGGCGTGGACGGTGTGGAGTGGGGAGATGGGGTGAAGGTTCAATGGGATAGAGGACTGGAGGTGGGGGTGAGGTGTGGGGGAAAGGAGTGCAGAGGTGAAGTGGGAGAGTCCTGTCACCAAAGAGGCTGGACTTTCCCTGGCAGGCTCGGCCGCACCTGGGATGTGGAAACCTTGGCTGGGGCGAGCACCCAGGTCATTTTCATGAGCAGCAAAACAAAAACAAAACTTCAGTTGATTTCCAATCAGTCACCATGCTGCTGCTTTATAAATCATTTTAAAGTGATTTCAGTAATAAAATTCAGCATGTACAGCGTTTCATTCTTAATGTACACGTTTTAAAGCATAATGTTACATACATTATGGAAGGTGCATAGTGAGAGAAATCATTTCCATAATATATCAACTTCCTGGCTAAAAATTCTTTGGATAAAATCCAATATTTATTTTATATCAGTGGACACCCATGTCAATATGGTTTTCACTGAGGGACCTTAGAGGGAAACTTTGAAGTGGGAAGGTGGTCTGTGTTCTTGAACAGAAAGACACATTTTTCTAAAGTTCTGAGCTCTTTCTGTGTTTGTAAATTTTACATAATCCAAATAAAGTTATCAGAGTGTTAAAATTACTCGTGCTGTGTTTTACTATTGTGATGGCATTAAGAAAACTTTTGAAATGGAGTCAGAAAGACTTGCCTTTCTAGATATGAAAATGTGCTTAATTTCCACAAGTTATTTACTAACAGCTGAAACAACAAATCAGTGAATGGAACAGGTTAGAAAATCCAGGAACACCCCAATATGTGTAAGAATTTATTAGGTTGGTGCAAAAGCAATTGCGGTTTTTGCCTCAATTAAAAGTAATGGCAAAACCGCAATTGTGTTTGCACCAATCTAATAGAATTCGATAATGGTGACATTTCATATTAGTAGGAAAAGATGAATTACTCATAAATGAAGTGCCTGCTAACTATTTGGAGAAAACTGGCTAGATTTATATGTCACAGAAATAAGTTCGTTATGGAATGTAGATTAAACATTTTAAATGCACAAAATAAGAAAGATAACAGAAAAAACACAAATGCCTACTTATATTGATACATGTTTATATTCCTATAAATATCACAAGCATACATTCTGAGGGTTGATTTAGCAAAATAAAAAAGTAAAACCTCCTGTTTATAAGAAAAAATTAACAAAAGACAGTATGTACGTATACATAATAGATAAAAAAGTGATTTTCATTTTACAGCGAATTCTTCAAATCAACAAGAACTCTCATTTAAAGTAGAGCAAAGCACTTTTTTTTCCAGATATTCAAGCAACCTATGCACATAGGAAAAAGTGTTTAGTGTTCCTGGGAGGAGAAGGTATTTAAGTTAAAAAAGGAATGAAATTCTGTTTTCTAGCCGCAAGTTTGTGAGGGTAAAGAGTTAGCAGTACATATACTGCTATTTAAAGTGTACATTTCTGATGATTTTTCAAATAGACAATTTGTAGGTAAGTATCACACTCTAAAAATGTATGTGCCCTTCACCCATCAATTCCATTATACTAAAATATCCTAGGAAATAGAGATACATGCAATTTGTTTTTCTCAGCACTGCTTAAAATAGCAATGTATTTGGAAAACCCCTTATAATGGATTTTATAAATTTTATAAATTTATCAATAAATTTCAGTGCATCCATAGGATGGGACAATATGGGACGTTTGCAGGTGTCAGTGGATACAGATGTATGTTGAGGTGTGAAGATGTACTTTGAAGAAAAGTTGGTTTGATTATATATATACACAAACAGTCTATGGTGTTTGTAAGCCAAATGTGTGTACAAAATATAACATTTCTTCTTTTCTGGCAGGTGTATTGTGATGTTTTTTCTTATCCGTGATGTATAAATGATCAGTATGTTTAAAACTTCTAATAAATGTTTTTTACTAATGAAATTGTCCTTGGGAAAAGAAGAAATTTAAATCTTGCACAGAAAAAAATAATTTGCACTTTCTATTTTATTTTGTTATTTATTTATTTGTTCATTTGTTTATTCTTGAGATGGAGTCTTGCCTTGTTGCCCAGCCTGGAGTGCAGTGGTACGATCTCAGCTCACTGCAACCTCTACCTCCCAGGTTCAAGTGATTCTCACACCTCAGCCTCCTGAGTAGCTGGGATTACAGGTGTGCACCACCATGCCCGGCTAATTTTTGTATATTTTAGTAGAGACATGGTTTCACCATGTTGGCCAGGCTGGTCTCAAATTCCTGACCTCAGGTGACCCCCTCCACCTCAGCCTCCCAAAGTGCTGGGATTACAGGTGTGAGCCACTGTGCCTGGCCTTATTTTTATTTTTTTTGTTTATTGGTATCTTCTATGAACTTTTAGCCTCTTCAGAGGTAAAGGGAATATTTTTATTTGTGCTTATTTTATTATGCATAGATTTTAGTATGTAAATATGTTTTTATTATAGTTTTATTACATATATGTAAACAATTTTAAATTAATCATTTTAGTTTACCAGTGTCCTCATGAAAATGAAAACGAGCAAATATAAGTGATTATCACTATTCCAAAAGCACCGCTTTAATTTATAGTTTTTTTCATAATAAACACCCCAATTGTATGTATACATTCTTTCAATCCAGTTATTTATCAAGCATAATCTGAATATCTATTGTGTAGCAGACACATTCTACCATCTCTCAGGACTCTTCCACTCTTAACAACTTCATGTTTAGCTGCCCAGCCTGAGCAAGCTGAGAGATTTAAAAAGGAAGCATTAGGACTGAATCCCAATTGGATCCTTTATTCCTTTTTTTTTTTTTTTTTAAAACAAAGGCAATTCTGAAGTTAGAAAATAGTAAAAGATAACCTTTAACTGCCCTTTCAAAAACTTATGGCAGTCTCAAATACTACTATTAATCATTGCAAATACCTAATTTATATAACATTCTATAAGTGTTGAAAAAAAATGAGCCATACCTATTCATTTGAATCCTGAGTTTTCTTTGGATTATTTTTTTGAAAATTGAAGGAAGAATTACTTTGTTTAAAATATTTGTTGTTTTATTTTTGCCTTCTTTTTCCACAGTACTTTATTTAGGTGCCAATTATATGAGTAGAACTGCCTGTTCTATGTACTGTATTCCACTTAATGTAAGGCATCATGGATTGGGTGATGCCACATTACTTTATATATCAATACGATAATGTTTAAAATGTTGCCAGTTATAATTGTAATAAATAATGAATTGTAAACAGTATTTCAATGTCAGGAGATATTAATATATAAGAGAATAGTAGTTTATATAAAATAATAGTGAGAAAATGAGCATCTGAGAATGATTGAAATACAATGATACATTTAATCTTCAATAGATACCTCAATGTGGATATGATTATATCATTTTACTTAATTAAAATGTCTTTATAAGTAGTAATATCTAAAAATTATTGAGCTGTTATTTGTGTTAGAAAGTGTTCTAAATGCTGTACATAGATTCTCATGTAAGCATCACTGCAGTGTTCTGTGGGATAGCTACTATTCTCTTACATATTTTATTGATAAGGAAATTGAAGCAAAGAAAGACTAGATAATAGCTAAGTGACAGAGCTTTAAGTAAATTTTAAGCCCCAATTAAACTGAATCCAAAAGCCAAGTTTTTCTGTTAAATGGCCTGCTCTTTCATTAATGTGATGAGTAATAAGTGCTAACAAAGATTGTACTTTCTTCACAATAAAATTAAATATTTGTTTTGAAGACAGAGAAATAACACGCTAATTAATGCTGACAGTTACATGTTTTAAAAAGTCCTCTCACTCTCGCAGGACTGCCCTACATTTGGCCTGTGCCACTGGCCAACCGGGCATGGTATCTCTCCTGGTGTCCGCAAGATGTGAGCTTAACCTCTACGACCGTGAATACAGGACACCTCTGATCAAGGTATACAGTAGCCGACTCTTTGAGCATAAGATGAATTTGGTTTAAGTACATAGAATAAAAAGAACTTATCTCATTGGATACCACTATATAACTAGTTAGTAAATCCTATGGAGTGTTTGTTTTGATTTTTCAGTATTTGCATGTTTCTCGGTCTAATACTGACAGGCTGTACAACTGAGGCAGGAGGCTTGTGCAACTATTCTGCTGAAAAATGGTGCCGATCCAAATATTATGGATTTCTTTGGAAGGAGTGCTCTACACTATGCTGTGTATAATGAAGATACATCCATGATAGAAACACTTCTTGCTTATGGTACAGATATTGAAGGATGCAGCGAGGTATAGATCAACCAACGTTATTTTCAAACTATCTGAAATGCATTTATTTTAACATTGACACATGTAAGGGCCAATTTTTCATATTTGGAAGCTCAAACATTCCTTGAATGAAAATATCTTGAAATGCCTTAACTGTCTAAGATTTTACTTTAAATAATGGAACTTTTAAAGAAGCATTATAGAGTACAACTTTTCTTCATGCGCTTATGGTAAATAATTATAAAAACAAATGAATTACAATAAATTTATAATTCATGACAACTGAATTTGGGAAACGGAATAGTTAAGTGGTTTTCCACTAAATTACTTTTTTTTCTAATCAGTGTGAAGTGACACAGGAAAGTAAAATTTGCCCTTATTAATAGGCTTTATTTTAAATTTCAAAGAAAATTAAAGCATTTCACAATAAATGTCCTTCTTGTTGCTGTTGACAAGTATTGTATGTGAAGGTGATTTCATTTGAAAGTGATTCCTCTGTGGAAAGGCTTAAGAGCGAGAAATGAGGAAAAGGAGAGCAATCAGAAATGCACAAGCTAATTCGGAAATTAGGTAATGAGGGAAAATACTGTGGAGAGGGTTTTTGTGTGTTTTGTGGTTTGTTTTCTATTTATATGTTGAGACAAGGATCTCTTCAGTTTTGGGGATAATTATTCTTACTTTGGGCAAGAGTTTGTGAGTTATAAAATTGCCTAGGGATCAGTTTTGGTAGAACTCTGAGGAAACCAGGTTGGCAGTGAATACAGGCGATGAAGTGGCACACAGTTCAGCAGAGAGAAGAACACAGAATTAATGGACATTATTCAATTCTGGCAGAAACAGTCACTTAGATAAGCATCTAAACTCTACTCTCAAGTCCACAATGTCTTGATGGGCAGGTGGGAGATAAGGAGCTTATAAAGAGTAAAATCAAGTTGGATTTTGAGTTTACTAGTCTCTTCTCTACCCCTACCCAGGAAAAGTAAATGGAGTTTTCAGTGAACGGCTCTATCTTTTGCTCTTTCCTCTTTTCGGCCAAATCCCAAATGGTAAAGGGCATTTGCCATGTGGGTGAGAGATGAGACTGAAGTGATTATCCACTGTGCTAGTCCACAGTTAGAATTGTGCATGATAGTAACCTGGGGAAATTAAAAGCAAATCTCTAAGTCTAGGATATCCCCTGATGATTTTAATATAGTAGATCTAATATTTACTATTAAATATTACTGGATATGTTTGTTTTAAAATATTTCCTTGAAGCTGGGCATGGTGGTGCCTCTAGTCAGAGCAACAGAATAAGACACTGTCTCTAACAACAACAACAACGACAACAAATTTCTTGAGACACTGATAGGCTGCTGGTTAAGAGCCACTGAATAGATAAGTATAATGTAAATTCTCATATCTCAAAAACGTAAAAAATCTCTAGAAGAGTTGGATGATAGGTGCTGCTTCCTTTAAATTCCTCCTTTCCAATAATATTAGCCTGACTTTTATCTATCTCTACTTCTGTGGTTGGGAAGTTAAAAGGACTATTATTTGCAGTATCCATCAGCTGAAGAATAACATCTTTTCTTTGTTACCATCACTTATTCACTGCCATTCATAGGGTCGTTAGAAATTTACTATTGGGTACTCTTTCAATAAGTAGAGACTGATTCTTTCAGGACTTTGAGTCTCTTTGTTATCATTCTGGTGATTATGTCAATACATCATTATTAAAAGCAGGGTTCTCTCAATTCCAATAGTAAAAAATTCTAAACCTTTTTTAAAAGCTGAAGCTCTATTATGGACTGCCTCAGTATGTCAGTTAAGTACACAGAACTATGGCATAATCAGGATAGCAGTTTTAAACACTGAAAACCATGAAGTTAGTAAGAATACGGAGAATACATGTAGGTCATTATTAGAGCTTTAATTGATAAGCCATTGTATTTTTATTTCTGATTTATATTTTACCTAAAATAAAAAAATTAGGTAACAATATGGACACTAGAATAGTAATTTAAAATTATTTTAATAATATAGTTGCAGCAGTCCTATGAACTAATTATCCATTTGATGAACAATCTGGGAAAATTAAACATAAATTATAAATGCATGCATGTTGCAAAAGTGCTTGAAGTGAGTATTATGACTCTTAGTAACAATTTTTATTGCATTCTTGGACCTGTTTTGGAAAAAAAATTCAGAAACTAAAGAAAGGAAGTATTTTACATGAAAATACTTGCTTTACATATAATTGCTTGGAGACATATCCATAGCAAATATAAAAATACAAGGTCTATAGTCTAAATGTGTCCCATAGATGTGTTTAGTTTGCCTCTATAAATTGTCTCAACATGGAAGGTTTAGGAGACTCATGCACAGATCTGGATTCCAGGCTTCTCTTCAAGAATCCAATCTGGTGTCCCTTGAGCCTATCTCACATTTAGGATGCTGTGCAGAGGTTGCCCCTTTCTGTGAGGCGTGTGGTCTCCATTCTGCTACTGTGCCTACCTAGGTACTTCCTCAGGTCATCTCCCTTGCCTCTGTAGGGATGACTTTACAAGCCCTGTTTTATAGTATATTTTAGTAAATATTTCAAGGTTTTCAAGACATTTTATATCTATTTAAATGTAGAGTCTATATTTTATATAAATCCCTTAGTGATGGGGTTGAACTTTTGAATTTAGAAGGTGGTGTTTTTATAAACTATTTTTCTGTATATATACCATAAATAATCATCTTCCCATTAGAATGCATGTAAGCTTTTTAAGGTGAATAATGGTATAGTTGCATAGGTTATGCATATTTTAGACAACATTATATTTTTCTCTTCAGTATTGCCTCCTAAACATGCAAGTAATTGGCCGGGCACAGTGGCTCAAGCCTGTAATCCCAGCACTTTAGGAGGCCGAGGCGGGCGAATCACGAGGTCAGGAGATTGAGACCATCCTGGCTAACATGGTGAAACCTCCTCTCTACTAAAAATACAAAAAATTAGCTGGGTATGGTGGCACACGCCTGTAGTCCCAGCTACTCAGGAGACTGAGGCAGGATAATAGCTTGTGCTTGAATCCAGGAGGCGGAGGTTGCAGTGAGCTGAGATGGTGCCACTGCACTCCAGCCTGGTGGACAGGCGAGACTCTGTCTCAAAAAAAAAAAAAATAAATAAAAGACGCAATAAATTTAGTGGCTTTCATTATGCTATAAATAACTAATACAGGTCATTATTAGAGCTTTAATTGATAAGCCATCGAATTTTTATTTCTGATTTATATTTTACCTAAAATAAAAAAAATTTAGTAAGAATTAATATGGAAACTAGAATACAAATTTTTAAAGGAGTTATGTACCAGGATCCTAAGATTATAATTACATAAATATTTGCACCAAGGTCCTAAGATTGTAATTGAGAGTAATATTTCATACAGAGCTTTCTGACAGCTAAGATAAAAATACTGCTAGAAAAAACCCATGGACTATTTAATAACAAGTAGTGAAAGTTCATTTGAAGCCTATCTCTATTAATTCAGAGCCCAGCTCTCCGAATTAAAAAGAGATAGGCTTCAAATGAACTGTCAATTGTGTCAGATTCTCGGATGACAATGTCAGGTGCTCCTGTTCCAAATGGATCAGGAGGACCTGACATTGTCATCCGAGATTCTGACACCATCGATGGAAGAGAATCAGGCAAGTGTGTATCACCCAGAGGAAACCTCCACCTTTACTGGTAAGCTCTCACAACCGTATCCCTGGAACTCTCATTTCTCAGATGTTAATCTTCTCCATAATAAGTATTTACAAATAGGGATTAGGTGGAGTTCAAAAGATTCCTCAAATACTAGACACATAATGCACAGTTTTGTAACATTTTTCAAACATGGGTGATCATGGAATCTTTCTTTTGGGGTATAATGTGCAACTTCTGGTAAAGTAAATATCCTTTGGAATATATTAATAGTTTAAGAAACCCTGCTCTATAGGTAATAATTTAGGACATTAATAAAAATACCTGAAACATTTATTACTATGTCTTAGAGTTTGAGGACATAGAGAAAAAAATACAGCTCCTGCCCTCAAGAAGCTCCTGGCTCAGGTGGGAAACAATGAAATCCTTGAAATATGCCGTGCTAAATGCTGTGACAGAAGCAAAGATTCTTGGAGCTGGTAAATGTTTGAAGTGAGCTTTGGAGATGACCAGAGTTCTTGTGGTGAGGCTGAGAAGATTGTTTCTAGGGGAAGGAGTAGAACCTAGAAAAGCGCCGAGGAGTGAAAAGAAAGGGACCACCTCTTATGTCCTTTCAATTGTATATATTCAAGCTCATAGGATCTTATGTAAGGTTTTCAGTTCAGTTGGTAAATATGTAATTTTGTGATTATAAATTGTTGCTGTTGTTTTACAGCATGAATGTCAACCACTTTTACTTGCTGTGAGTCGAGCAAAAGTGAACATGGTGGAATTTTTATTAAAGAAAAATGCAAATGTAAATGCAGTTAATTATCTTAACAGGTACAGACCTTAGTTCTTATTGTGTTGTTTTTAAACCTGAGTGTCATTTTAGAGTGGTGGCAGTCACTCAAGTCAGAAATATTACATTAATAAGAAGACTAACTTTTAATTATTGGGATATAGTGAGAAATATCAACACAGATCATCACTTAGGTAGAAAAACGATTATTTGGACTGAGTAACATAAAGAACAGTGTACAGCAGGATTCATCTCTCTAGACATTATACACATAAAAGGCTTCTATATTGACAGATGTTTGTTATTTGTAATATGATGTGGTGTTATTTATAATGTAATAATGTGATGCTTTTGATTGTATGATCTTACATTAGCTATAGGGGTTTCATGTTAGTTTTTCATTTCTGCTGTGTTTTGATGTTGTTTTTAATTGATATGGGAAGAGGGAGAAAAGATAGCTTTAAACTGATAAAACTTAACTTTAATGAAGACAAGCTTTAGATTCACACAGGACTGGGTTTAATCCCTAGCTTTCCCACTTGCTAGATGTGTGACCTTGGTAACATTACTTATCAC